CTTCTTGTTTTATTCTCTTCAAAGCATGTATTGATACCTGATACTAACTTGTTCGTTTATTTTTTTTCACTGGTTATTTATTATCTATTTACTCACAGATGAATGAAAGCTCCATGAGATCAGCAAGTTCTGTCTTATTTGCCACTATGTGTTCAAATCCTAGGGAATGCCCAGAATAAATGTGTTGAATGAATGAATCAATGATTTGTATAGAAAGAACAAGATTGGTTCATTACTTATTTTATACCTGTTGTCTTCCCAAGACTATTTGATGAGGCTGATAAAGTTCCATTAACATTAGTCATGTTACTGTTGTCAAAATTCTCTTAAAGAACTAGCATGGAATTTGGGGCTAACTTACACTCAGTATCAAATATATCCCAGGCAGCGGTTGGGTCCTAGGACATGCTAAAATTGCTATTCCCCATCTTCAAGTGAAGTTAGTTCAGAAAATGTATGGTATAAAAGTGTTTTCTACTAGTAAAGAGGTTTCTGAGTATTCTGCTTAAGAGATAAAAGAAATATATTTTTAAAAAACTAACAATGTTTACTGAGTGTCTAGAATGAAGTCATAGTTCACCAATGAACAGAGCAAATTAAATAATTAGAACACCTAAGTCCTGGTAGTTTACAATCTGAAACAGAGAAATAGAAATATTAATTTACATAAAACACAGCCATATAATAATAGTAATAATAATAATATTATTCTAACTTATTATTCCTATGTAAAAGAATCTTCATATGTTTTAACTTATTTGATCCTCATAACTATCCAGTGAAGTAGCCCCTGGTGGCTCAGACGGTAAAGAATCCGCCTGCAATGAAGGAGACCTAGGTTGGGAAGATCCTGTGGACAAGGAAATGGCACCCCACTCCAGTATTCTTGCCTGGAAAATCCCACGGACAGAGGATCCTGGAAGGCTACAGTCCGTGGGGTCGCAAAGAGTCAGACACAACTGAGAGACTAACACTTCCACTTTCACAGGGCAGCATTATTACCCCCGTTTTACATTTACATTTAATAGTTTACATTAACTGAACTGAGTCACAGAGAGGTTAGTTAACTTGCCCACAGTTAGACACATCTAATTAGTGGTGAACAGAAAATACTATGAAGAGAATGGAAATAATAGTTTCAAACTCTGTAATACATTTATTTGGGGATGTGAGCAATTTGGATGAACAAGTTACCTGTTTATATGTTAACAAGTAATCAAAGTTTCTTGTGTTTAAAATGTAAAGTTATGTGGTTTTTAAAGAATAAAACCAATTAATTAACTTCCAAACAAAATACAATAAACCCTTAAGTCAAATCACTAGCTTTAGCAGGATACCTTACTCTTTTAAATGTGAAGCTATTCAATGTGCATCCCATATTCCAGGACTGTTTTTGCTGTGTGTTTGTTTGGTTTTGCTTTCAGGCAAAAAAACCCACAGGACTGGCCCTTCTTTGGAAGTGTCTCTAGGTACAAGAAGCATGAAAGAAAGAGAGTGTAGTTGCTCAGTCATGTCCGACTCTTTGCGACCCCAGGCTCCTCTGTCCATGAAATACTCTAGACAAGAATATTAGAATGGACTTCTATACCCTTATCCAGGGAATCTTCCCAACCCAGGGATTGAACCTGGGTCTCCTGGGTCTACGTCATTGCAGAAAGATTCTTTACCGTCTGAGCCACAAGGGAACATGCCAGGGACAAGAAGCATGAGCTAGCCACAAATAAATTAGGATTAAATGTACAGTGAGATAAATTCAACCTTCTTTCCTCCAAGTCCACAAATCATTTAGTTCCTCTTGAGAGAAGATGTTCCTACTCTTCCTGTGCTTTAAGAAAGCAAGGGATTTCCCCAAAATAAAGAAACCCACACATTTGTTAGGTTTCCCTCTACTCAAGACACTCTACTTGAAATGAGAACTACACTAAAGAGTTTACAGTGCATCTGGATTTGTTGAGTAGATATAACATGAAATACATGATGTAGAATCATCTCAGCTGTTGCTTATGAAGAAGGGAAGCTATCACAAGGTCTGAGGAGAGGGAGATCACTATGGGTCAGAGAGAAGTGGAGTTTGAGTTGGGTCAGGGACCAGGCATGGTAATTGGGATAACAGGAAAGAGGGAGCAATGAAGACTGTGTAAGCAAGGGCTTCAGGAGGGAGGAGAGAACCTGTTCTATTTGGGGAACAGGGAATAGAAGAGTTTGGCTGTTGCAGATGTTCAGGCAGGTGTGGGAGTAGTAAGAAATAAGATTACTATGACATTTTTAGGCCATACTCTGAACAGTCTTAGGTCCTGTGCAATGGAGTTTGATTCTATCCTGTTGTCACTGAGGACTGAGGGCTTGTGAGCTGGTCAGTGATGTGTTCAAATGGATCCTTAGGAAAAGCTCATCTGGCATGAATTTCAGGAGATGGGGGAGTGAAGAGGCAGCAGAGCCAAATAAGACATTATCAAAACACTCTGCCACTCTGATTAAGAGCTATATTCAGTCTCTAATGGGCCTTGGAAGTTTGAAAACATACTTCCAAAGCACATACTTTAAACTTGGAGTTTGAAAACATACTTCCACTGGGTTTGCCGTTTAAAAACTAAAAATACACATGAATCGTCTTTCCACAGAAAATCCTGCCAAGGGTATCTCTGAAACATATCCAGAAACCAGCCACTATCACCACTTCCATCTACCGTCTTCTGACTTGACTGCCACCATCAACTCTCACCAAGTTTACTTCAGCAGTCTCCTTTTTTCCCACTCTTGCTCCAACGTTAAATATTCTCCACACAGTATCCAGGGTGGTCCTTTGGAAATTTAAGTCAGTCAGCATTGCTTTTCCACGCAGAACACTCCCCAGGTCTCTGCTTCACACCGAATGTGATGGGCAATCCTGAGGGTGACCTCGGAGCTGCCGCTCTGTCTTCTCATTTACCTGCCACCGCCACCGTATTCTGCTTCAGCTGGGCTGTCTTACTGCACCCCTGCTTCCTCCTGCTTCAGTCTTCTCTCTTTGCTATTCTGTCTTCCAGGACTCTCTTTCCTAAGGCGTTTGTATGACTAACTCCCTACGTCCCCCCCAAAAGGGTCTACTCAAATGCTGTCTGAGAATTTGTCCCTTCCCATCCATGTCAAAAACACCCCAACTCTGATCAATTCCATCCCTTTCACTCTTGCTTTTTTAAACCTCCTTTAATCAGTTGACTCTTCTTCCCCGCCAGAACCTCAGCTTCATGAGGACAGAGAATACTTTTGTTCATGGCTATCTCCCCCGATCTTAGAACAGAGCCTGAGATAGACAATAAATACTTGCTATTGAATTATATAATCTTTTAAGACTTAGAGGAAGGCTCTCTGTCTGCCGGGGCTCCCTGATACTTGCTCCAACTGGCTGTGGTTCTGCCCACTCCTGCTGGGTGAGAAAGGAATGAAAATCGGGAAACAGCCTCTGTAGGAGGAGGTAGAAACAGCAGACAATCAGAGGCATTTGCCAAGCTTCACTGCCTCCTCAACTTAGCTGTTGGCTATTTTTGAGTTGAAAAATTAAATTTCTTATAATAGCAATAACATGATAATCCCATTGTATCACAGATGCTGTAGGCCCATCAAAATCCATTTTCTCTTTCTCATGACACCCAAATATCCCAGCTCCCTGTGCAGTTGGGTGGGGCCATGTGACAGCTTCAGCCAATGGAAAGTGGATGAAAACACTGTCTGCCACTTCTAGGTCTGGCCTATAAAAGAAAATTGAACAAAGCAAATCAAATGTAACAAAGCAAAAACAAAGAAGCAACAACAACAAAAATTTTCTGCATAAGATCTTCTGTGCTTTTTCCCTTTCTGTCTGCTAGATATCAGTCAACACTCAGGGAAGTCTTGGAATCCTCATGTTGAAGCTAGCATAGCCTCTGTCTGCCCAGATCCCTGAATGATAGCATAGAGCAGAGGTGACGTTGACTTGAAGACCTGGCTATTGATTCTGAGCCATTGTATACTGGGGGTCCATTTGTTGACAGATAATATTTTTCCATTTGTTGTCTATTGGTAAGTTGCACCCTACTCTTTGCAACCCCATGGACTCCTCTGTCCATGGGATTTCCCAGGCAAGATACTGGAGTGGGTTGCCATTTCCTTTCCAGGGGATCTCCCCAACCCAGGGAGGACACCCACACTTTTAAACAATTCGTTGCTTACGTAAAATTCAGATTTAACTGGGCATCCTGTATTTTTATTTGCCAGATATGGCAAACTTACGATAAGAATAAAGTCAAGTATCCATACAGAGACTTGTGCATGAATGTTTATAGCAGCATTATTCATAATAGTGAAAAGGTAAAACTAGCCAAAATGTCCACCAGTGGACAAATGGGTAAACGAAACGTAGTGTATACATACAAAGAATCGTATTTGGCCATGTGGAGGAATGAAGTGACGATACAAGCTACAGCAGGGATTGAACGTGAAAACATTATGCTGAGAGAAGTCAGTCACAAAAATTCACCTACTATGTGATTTCATTCACAGGAAAGTCCAGAAGAGAGGATTGTGTAGAGACACAGAACACAGATTAGTGGTTGCATGAGGCTGGGAGTAGAGGGGATAGGAGTAGAGGGAGGGTAACAGTTGAAGGATTCATGGTTTCTGCTTGAAGTGATAAAAAATATTCTAGAGTTGACCATGGTAATGATTGCACATTATCTGTTACTGTTCTAAAGACTGTTGAATCATATAAAATGTATAACTATAGGGACTTCCCTGGAAGTGGTTAAAGGCTCTGGGCTTCCAATGCAGGGGACTCAGGTTTGATCTCTGATCAGGGAACTAAGATCTCACATGCTGCATGGCATGGCCAGAAAGTAAAAATAAATGTTTTAATAAACAAGCAAATGTGCAATTATACATTTATATTATAGTATATGAATTATATCTCAGTAAATCTATTTTTAAAGAGCCTCTTTGTTTCATTTCAAAACACATAAAATGAGCAAAAATGTTTTTCTTTGTAGGTATCAGTGAACAAAGTCAAACAAGATTTATCAAATATATTGGAACAAGGAAAACCAATTAACATAATCAGTAAAAAAGAAAATCTCTTAGAAAATAAGAAGAATCAGCATAAACTAAGACGAAAAGGAATTCGAAATAAAGATCTCTGGAAAAGAAATAAAGATCACTGTAAGTAGAATTCCCTCTCACATATAAATTTAAAATGACTTCATGTAATTTAAAATCAAATTTTATAGCTACTTTCCAAGAAATCTTGGGATATAGTCATAAAGATTTATACTCATGAAAGCCTTAAATTTTGTTAGCTTCTATCCCCTGACTTGATTTGGAATTTGTACCAATGGATAACAAGCAAGGTAGGACTCATGGATTAAAAAAATCCATAATTAGGTGAATAAAACATTTATCAAATATTTTGCTAATGGAAACTCTCATACTCTAAAGAAAACTGAAGTTAATACAGAACCCTTTTTTTCTGGTCTAGCAATCTAAAACTCCCTCTAGTAAAGCCATACCTGATTAGTTGATAGATTTCTCTGGTGCAAGAAGAGTCTAGAAAAATATAAATAATGTCTCTATAGGTTCTGTGTGCAGGAGCTAACTGGTGCTCAGTTATAAAACTTAAGACACTTTCAACATTCAAGTGTGGTACGTGAAAGCTTTGTCTCTTCTAACAAATATGAATGAGTGTCTATCATTTAACATTTTATGCAAGAGAGGGAATCTTCTTTGGCAGAGAAAAATTAAGAACACCAGTTTTAATGGCATTATAAAAATAATACGTACATATCTTAAAGTTACTTTAAATCTAAATCATAAACACTGAAACATACATTTGACCATTTTTTGACATAGAAACATGGCCTGCCTTTTATTTAGATTGGTATTTCCAGTGTAAACCGCATTCAAACTGTATTATCTATGACTTCCCATTTCAGATTTTTAATGAAACAAAGTGCTAAAAACATTTATGGAACAACTATGAGCAAAATCCTTCCAGATATTTACTGACTTTCCCCCCAGTCATTTATAAATGGTTTACATACAATTAAATTTGATAACTTTTATTGGCTCTCCTTATCACATTTTTCATAATATTTTGATCACTTTACATAGAAACATTTTCTTTTTGCACTTATTTTAGTAAGTTTGCATATTGTTTGGTTAAATTCTGTGATTATAATAACTACAATCGATACAAATAGATTTGGCAACAAGCAATCCTGATCTTTGGCAAATATGCAAAGGGGGGGAACAGAAGTAACACCTATACCAAAGAGCATCCCACTAGCCACTAAACATTCAATATGCTGCGGACGTCAGTCCATAAGTTGGACAGAAGATATGAAAATCATTGATTAATTTGGCGAATAAGGTAGGTAGAGATTGATAAAGTGAGCTTCTGCTTTTTAAAAGAGTAACTAAGGTCATCCTTCAAATGAGATCCTTTTCCCTTATATGGAACTGGTTGTATTATGCCTAATAATAATAAATAATAAACTAACTAACTGAGCATCTCCCATATTGTTTTAATGTTTAGTCAACTTAAGATAAGTTGTGTGATTTCCAGTTTATAAGGTGTGAAACTTGCAACACAGAGAAATAATTTTCTTAACAGTATAAAACCATTATTTAATAGGGAAACTAGGATTTGAACTTAGTCTGATGCCAAAATCCTCTAGCTCTTAGGGGACCATATGCATCTCACAAAGTAAGTGGGCAGTATTTTGCAAGTGAGCATGGGACAAGTGCTTTTAACCCCATGCTTCTCAAAATGGCTTAGGGCAAATATTGAACTAAATGGCAAAGATGCTCAATTTCCTGAGCACAAAATTTACTTGATAATTTTAAGGGAAATAAATAATTGTAAATATAATAATTGAAAACATTTTCATTTTAGAACTAATGGTATAATGTATACAGTATATTTCAAAATTCACATTTTGAATTATCAAACCTAAGACTTTAAAAAAATGTTTTCCTCTCCTCCACATCTCTAGGGAGTGTACATGCATTCATTGCTGCCTATCTAAACGTTTCAAGAACATTTGAGAAGCCCTGTCTTGCAATAATCATAACATCCATTCATAAAGATTTACATAAATTAGAAAGTGTTTCCTTCTGGCATAAGTATTATAAGTATTGGAAAGTTATCACTACTAATAAGAGCAATAATTAGAAATTAAGAGCCAAGGGTTTCCAGAAGAGAGAGAGAGGTTAGTTTTAGAGCTGGAAAGACTCTTACTAACTGTAGTCTCTGCTTGATCTTTATGAGTCTTGCCTTGACAAAGATTTTAAATTTTTTAAATCTTAATATTTTAAGAGTATTTTCCCATATTTATTCCAAAAGATTGGTTCACTGCTCAGTTGAAGAGTTGGCTCTATATAGGACATAAAAATGTTGACATGCATGTGACTTGAAGTATCAGGTAGGATTTTTACAGGATATAAATGACACATTTAAATTGAGTCATATTAGTTCAGTTCAGTTCCTATTTCTGAAAGGGCACACAGAGTGTAGAGAATTCACAAAATACCCTCCCCCCGCCCAGAACAGTAACAGCAGTTTCATTACCACCCCTAGGTCTGAGGGGTCTTCGGGCAGCAGTGGCTACAGCGATGCCAAGAAGGAAAGCAAGAGCTGTATGGCCAGGGCCCTCTAACACAAGTATGACCTTAGGTCAAGGACAAAGCCAGCCCATAACAACCCAGACCCAGGAAACCAGGGCATACTTAGCTCTCTTCCTACCCTTCAGACTTCCAGGCGGTGCCTCTCAGCCAAATCTAAGCAGAAGCTAGAGGACAAAGGAGTCCTCTGAAGAAGCCCATGTGGGCATAGAGCAGGGTGGAATGGCTCTAGAAAGACAACCAGAAGACAACCAGACTTTTTAAACAAGGGAAATTAAACAGCATTAACTGAAAGGAGGAGGACTTTTAGTGTCATGCATTAGAAGCATAGTTTTTAAAAGTAATATTATAGAATCTTAGAATTAGGAAATGTTAGTGGTCATCTCGGCCAGCATCTTTCATCAGATATTCCAGGCAGATAATACCAGCTCCTACTTAAATACATGCGACTAAGCTCACTGCTTCATACAGGGCAGCCTGTGATATTATTGAAGATATGTCTTTCTCATAAAGTTCTTAACTTACATTAAACCAAAATCCCTTCCCCATAGTGATCTTAAGCAGCTGGAGTGGGACAGAATCATCCTGCTATGGATATGGACTCCTGTCATGGAGCTGTTGCCCCCATCCCCACTGAATCCTGTGCTGTGTGCACATTTTTTCTAAGATTCAGGTAACAAAGTTAGAGCAAGCTGAAATCTTTTCTCACCTAAAAGTACTACACCAATGTATCAATCAGGGTTCAACCAGAAAAAAAGAACCAGTAGGTGATATATATTTGAAGACTTATTGTAAGGTACTGGCTTACGTGATTATTACGGGAGTTGGCGAAGCAAGTTCAAAATCCGTGGGGCAGTTTATCAACAAGGCCCAACAGGAATTCTTGGACAGGACCTGAAGCTGCTGTTCACAGCTGGAATTTTTTATTCTTTAGAGAAACCTCAATTCCATTCCTAAGGCGTTTGAACTGTTTGAATCAGATCGACCCAGATCATCTAGGATAACTTCTTTTACTTAGATGTACCTGCTAAGTTCTGTCACAGTAACAACTAGATTCATATTGAATTTAATAACTGGGGACTATATCCTCACCAAGAAGAAACACAAAACTGTCTATCACAACCAAGTGTTTCCTCATCCTTATGTGTTCATCTAAATTTTAGAATCTAAGTAAAAGATTTTACATTTATGTCTATTGTGTTCATTTGGGATTATTTCAACCTATTGATTATATCCATCAAACTCTCCTAGTTTTCTGTCATTCAAGTTTTTGATGAGCATGCCTATCAATCTTTTATCCAAATCCTTGTAGAAGGTAACAAGGCAGGACCAAGTCTAGAGCCTAGAGCCCACAATAATCCACCATAAATCTCTATTATTATATTTACCCACTAATGACAGATAAAAATCTACATGTGATGAGGTTGAAAACATAAAATTTTAGTTATGAGAATGCCTTATACAGAGTGCACTGCCCTTGTTTGGGAAGGTGGCTTAATAAGCATTGGTAGACAGAAAATAGGCAAACCCCCTTTCCTGTTCCCCCATCTCCAACCCCACACCAAAGTCTGGTATCAGGAAACTGTAGAATTAGCAGTTACTAAAGCAGAGAAAGCCACAGAGAAGCAAACCTTCCTTAGAGAGAAGGTTTACAAGTTGTAGAGTGAACCCGGAGCATGGGTTATACATGGTCATTGTGCTTAGTCACCCAGTTGTGTCTGACTCTGGGCGACCCATGGACTGTAGCCCACCAGGCTTCTCTGTCCTTGGGATTTCCCCACCAAGAGTTCTGGAATGGGTTTCCATTTCCTTCTCTAAGGAATCCTCCCAAACCAAGGCTTGAATGAGCGTCTCCTGCACTGGCAGGCAGATCCTTCACCACTGGGCCACTCGGGAAGGCATGCATGTTATACAACTGGCTAAAAACATTAAATTTCATTCCCATTCAGTTTCCATTTCAACATTTTGTGCATAAGATATCATAAGACATGGGATATAGGTGTTTCATATAAATGATACTCCTCAGACTTCAGAAAAGAAAAATGAGCTTTAACCTAACATTCTCCAAACAACTTCCTAATTCATAGTGATCAACTCAAGGTCATAAACTGTGTATAAAAATTTGTTCAAAAAATTAGAAATTAAGGAGGTTGACATCAAGCTGTTTCTAGAATATTAATGTGTTTTTCCACATATTGAAAGTAGAGGAACTATTTACCAGTTTTCAGACCTCTACCAGTTTTTCCTTTTCCTAGAGTTTGAAACTATAACACATAGCATTTGTATTCCCCTTACTTCAAGGCAAGAAGTAATTTTGTCTGTCATATTTAATATGAATAAATATTTGCTGAATTAAATTGAGTTGAATTCTTCCTGTACCTTTACATTCTAAGATGTAAACTCAGACCTTCTGAATTCAGGTTCAGCACTCTCTATAATATAGGTGCTATATAAAAATAATAAAACCTTAGGAATTCCCTAGTGGCCCAGTGGTTAGGATTTGGTGCTTCCACTGATGTGGGCCTAGGTTGGATCTCTGG